TTTGCTTTTTATATTTGATAATGTTCCTTTAACCCTTTCAGGGTCCGTCCCGTAGATCTACGGCTTTACGTTCAGGGTCCAAACCGTAGATCTACGCCATGAGCTCAGCTCACTCTGATAAACTGTGAGTGGTACATTTGGGCCTAGATATGAGAGAATACATCTATGTGGTATGTGTGCACCACATAAAACAGATCCTGCAGCACACTGTGTATAATGAGAGAAAAAAAATGAAATCATGATTTTTCGATTAAAACAGCAACTTTGCAGTGTTTTTTCGTATGTTTTTTATAGTTGTATTTGCGATTTCTTGGTCTCATTTGATAGAATGGAAGACATATTACAGAAATATAGATGATTTTGATTGGTTTTTAGCACTGGAAATGGCTTGAAACTGAGCTCAAAGTAGAAGAAATGTTAAATTTTTGCCGATATTCAAGAGTAAACAAACGACCTCACACGTCTAATACACGTCAGCTGGTGGGTCTAATATACATTCACAAATATGGTGATGATATTTATACAATTATTACAGTATTGCATAACAGTAAATCTTCTATTTTTTGGTGTGAATAAAAATTCATTATGTGAATAAAAAATCAAAATGGAATTTATTTGTAAAGCCTCAAAACATAACTAATGAACAGAGGAAATGTTAGTTTAGTGCCAAAAATGCCTACATTGTTCATTCTGGACCCTATTTTGAAACTGGAATATTTTGAACTTTGTGTTAAATTGGCCAAATTAACAATTTCCGATCACTTTATTTTGTAGTTGAAACAGTTGACTTGGCGATTTCTTGTGCTCAATCGATAGAATAGAAGTAATACTAGTGAAATAGCTAAGAATTTGGTTGATTGGAATAATGTAATTGGCCTAAAATGGGAGTCAAAGTCGGCAAAATCGCCGATTCGTAAATATCGCTGACACATCAAAATTCGTGAGAGCATAATTTCGTCAATTTTCCACCAAATTTCGTACTTTTTGTTTTATTACCTTCACAAAAAAATTCTCTATGATTTCATAAGAAAAAATAACAAATTTTTTTTTTGAAAATTCTTGGACACTGGTGCGTGACTCCAGATTTGGGCCTTGGACCCTGAAAGGGTTAATATCAAAATCGTTGGAGGTGAGTAAAAATGTTTTTACAGGGTGGTTTGAGGGTAAACATGAATTAGCCTATTGATACTATCCGTAGTCTATCTTACTCCATTGCCTAGTTGACCTTAGCCTACTGGTGCTATGTGCCAATGAATTTTTATAATTATTTTTGTTATTAATTATTTTATACAAAATAGTTTACATGACTCATTATTGGGTCATAAACAAGAGCTTCTCTAGGCTTAGGTTGAGGCGTGTCACAAATTCGGATTTTGCTTTTTGGAACTTTGTGGATTTTTTTTCAAATACTGTATGTATTTTCAGTCCTCGTTTGGTTGAATTTGAGGATGCAGAACCTACGGATATGGAAGGTCGACTGTATATAGCTTTTGTTGAAGGTGAGAAAAGTTTTCATGGGCTCATTGGTGTGTTCTTACAGGGATTCACACTTAACCCTTTCAGTGGCTGTCACGTAGAACTATGTCATTGAGGCCAGTGTCCCTCACGTAATTCTACATCGTGAGCTCAGCTCATTCGGATATGCTGTCAGCAGTAAATTTTGCCTGATGGTAGGGTAATTTATATACAACTATTGGAAGAAAGATGGGTTAGTGAGAGTATAAGTAATGAGGTTGAAGAGGTATGGGATAGGTTTAAGAATGTAGTGTTAGTGTTCAGCAGAAGTGTGTGGTTACAGGAAAGTAGGTGTGGGAGGGAAGAAGAGCAATTGGTGGAATGAGGAGGTAGAGTAGTAAGAGAGGAAAAGTTAGCATATGAGAGGTTCTTGCAAAGTAGAAGTGATGCAAGGAGGGAGGAGTATATGGAGAGGAAAGAGAGTGGGGAAGGAATGTAAAAGGAGAGCAAATGAGAGAGTGGGTGAGATACTATAAAAAAAATATGCTGAGAATAATAATAAGTTTTGGAGTGAGATTAATAAGTTAAAAAAGCCTAGGGAATGAATGGATTTGACAGTTAAAAATAAGAGGGATGTATTAGATGGACAGTTAGAGGTATTGGGAAGATGGAGGGAATATTTTGAGGAAATGTTAAATGTTGAAGATAGGGGAGCTATGATTTTGTGCATTGGGCAGGGAGGTATAACATCTTGTAGGAGTAAGGAAGAGCCAGTTGTGAATGTGGGAGGAGGTGCAGGAGGCAGTGGGTAGAATGAAAGGGGGTAAATTATTATAATCAAAACTAAATGCTAAACCCACCAGGGTCATACAGTGCTAGAAAGGGGGGTAAAGTAGCTGGGATTGATGGGATAAATACAGAAATGTTAAAAGCAGGTGGGAATGTAGTTTTGGAATGGTTGGTGCTTTTATGTATAAATGTAAGAGGGAAAGGTACCCAGGAATAGGCAAAGAGCATGCATATTTCCTTTCTATAAAGGGAAAGGGGACAAAAGAGTGTAAAAGTTATAGGGAAATAAGCCTGTTGGGTAGAGTCTTTATTGAAAGAATTAAGAGTAAAATGGAGAGCAGGACTGCAGATGAACAAGGAGGTTAGAAAGAGTAGAGGTTGTGTAGACCAAGTGTTTACAGTGAAACATATGAGTGAACAATAGATAAGGGTAAAGAGTTTTTTTCGTTGCATTTATGGATTTGGAAAAGGCATATGATAGGGTGGATATTAGAGCAATGTGTCAGATGTTCTAGATGTATGGTAAGTTAATGAAAGCAGTTAAGACTTTTTATGAGGATAGTGAGACTCAGGTTAGAGTATGTAGGAGAGAGGGAGATTATTTCCCAGTAAAAGTAGGCCTTGGACAAGGACGTGTGATGTAAGAGAAGTGAATGCTCGGGTGTTAGCAAGAGGTGTGGGGTTAAGAGATAAAGAATCTGACACAAAGTGGGCATTGTCACAGTTGTTTTTGCTGATAACTGTGCTTTTGCGAGATTTCAAAGAGAAGTTGCAGAGATTTTTGAACAAGTTTGGAAGGGTATGTAAAAGAAGAAAATTAAAAGTGAACATAGGAAAGAGCAGTGTGATGAGGATAACAAAAAAATTAGGTAATGAAAGATTGGATATCAGATTGTAGGGAGGGAGGATGGAGAAGTGGATAGGCAGCAGTTGGGTCTATGAAAGATGATGCAAATCATAGAATTGATGAGAGGAAAAAGGTGAGTGGAGCACTGAGGAGTTTATGGAGAAAGTGTTGTCCATAGAAGAAAAGAGGGGAATGTATGGGAATATAGTGCTCCCAATGCTCTTATGTGAGTGTGAAGCATGGATGGTGAATGTTGCAAAAAGGAGAAGGCCGGAGGCAGTGGAGATGTGTCTGAGGGCAGTGTGATGTGAATATAATGCAGATGATCCATAGCCTGGAGATAAGGTGGTGTGGGGCTACTAGAAGTATTATCCAGAGGCCTGATTACAGGTCACGGAAATGGTTTGGAAATTTAGAGAGGATACAATGAAACAGAATGACTTGGAGAGCATATAAATCTGTAGTGGGTCAGCCTAGGAAAGGATGGAGGGAGGGAGTAAAGGAGGTTTGTATGTGGGGGGGGGGGATGGGCTTGGACTTCCAGCAAGCCTGCTTGAACTTGTTAGGAGCGAGTGGCGATGAATGGTTTTTATGACTTGCTGTTGAGTGTGAGCAAACTAACATGAAGGGATTCAGGAAAACTGGTTAGCCAGATGTGACTTGAGTCCTGGAGGTGGGAAGTACATTGCCTGCATTCTGCAGGAAAGACGTTGATATGTTGCAGTTTTTTAACTGTAGTGTAGGAATGCCTCTGGCAAGACAGTAATGGAGTGAATGATGAAAGCATTTCTTCTTTTTCTGGTCACCCTGCCTTGGTGGGAAAACTTGATATGTTCATAAAAAAAAAAAGGAAACTAAGCACTGAAGCCACTCAATCAGTTACTTCCCACCAGCTTAAAAAATGCTGTATATAGGTGCTTCACGACTTAACCCTTACACTGTCCAAACAGATCTATGTTCACATGTGTAGATCACAAGTAGATGTACATTTTGTTTACATTTTTTTTTTATTATCACACTGGCCGATTCCCACCAAGGCAGGGTGGCCCGAAAAAGAAAAACTTTCACCATCATTCACTCCATCACTGTCTTGCCAGAAGGGTGCTTTACACTACAGTTTTTAAACTGCAACATTAACACCCCTCCTTCAGAGTGCAGGCACTGTACTTCCCATCTCCAGGACTCAAGTCCGGCCTGCCGGTTTCCCTGAATCCCTTCATAAATGTTACTTTGCTCACACTCCAACAGCACGTCAAGTATTAAAAAACATTTGTCTCCATTCACTCCTATCAAACACGCTCACGCATGCTTACATATTTTCTATAAAAAAAAGTAGATCAAAGTTTTTTTACACATTTTCAAATGTTAAAAAAACAGAAAGATCTAAGTTTTTTACATACCTTCATATGTTGAAAAAACGTAGATCTATGTTTGGACAGTTTAAGGGTTAAAATGGTTCGACTATGATATTTCAACTTTATAATGGTGCAAAAGCAATTACTTTGGAGCTGAAACTTAAGATAATTATCCAGCATATATTATTTTTTATTTTCAATACTGGTATTTAGTTACAGTAATTAATTTACTAATTCAATAACAGTAATTATAAATTTATTTAGCATACCATATTCACATTCGACTTATGAGGGGTTTTGTTGGAACATAACCCCCATCGTAAGTCGAGGAGCACTTGTATATACATACTAGCTTTCATTGGTGGTTAGGTTTACACTTGCCCAAAATGCTCTGCATAACTAACTGATTGAAAGTGACTTGTTTTATTCTAGAATCATATGTATACTCATTCTACAGTGCAGTTCAGTTCTAATTTATATATGTTGTACATTGAACTAATATTCTACATGAATGTGTTAAGGCTCACACGCATAACTAGTTATAGATTAACAGTAGTGATTCAAAGGAATAATGAAAAAAACAGCTTAAGGTAAATTTTCTAGTATATTACCAAAAAATGTTATTGGTTAGCACGTTTATTAAAAAATCATACATAATTTCAATATACAGTGATATATATACAGTATATGTATATATATGATAGATATATATAAACTATTTACAAATATTTACAGAACAATATCTAGGATTATATTTAGATACAGTTTAAATGATGATGAGTTTGTATATGGAACTACAAAAAAAATGTAATGTCACTATATGGAACTACAAAAAAAATGTAATGTCACAAGTGCTTCATAATGCATTCATCCATAAGATTGACAGCAACATACAATTGTATTTTGATTTTTCAGTTTTTTTTTAATCAAATACTATCAGTACATAAGAATAAGGTTTGTAATGATTATGAAACTAAAAAAGAATTTTAATACCACAGTAAATTTTAATAAAAAAAAAATTTATACATTTTTTTTTCTACTGTACTGTTTGTTATTGAAAACCAGATTTACGATACAATTTTATGAACCGGGTTAAAGAGGCTGTTATAATCTCTAATAAGTTATTGAGCATGACCATGTATTTATGTACATTTTTGTAATAGTTTAGTCACTTCGTCTAAGGTGTACATGTAATAATTTTTGAGCCCTGTAATGTATGGCTCCACAATGTACTTGAACTTTTTCATTTATATTTGTTTACTCTGAAAGTTTCATAGTTCTAGTTGTGTAAACAAACAAATTGGGCATCTATTAACTGTCTGGGTACTTATTAAACTGCAATATTATTATGTTTATACCTTAATTAGATTATAGAATAATATAACACCATACATATACATTAGTCATGTATTCATTATCAGCATCTCAATATTTTGTATGGTACTCATTATTAAGAGTAAATCCTCACTATAAGATATGAACAGGTTAGAGTAGGTGTCTGGTAATGGTAATTGTGGTGCATAGAAAAGAGATTGTTTTACCCTGATAGTAACAATGAATTCTGCAACAAAATTTATTTTTATTTCTTAAACTGATTAACCCAGTAGATTTTTTTCTGTGCTTCCAAACTCCACTATGTTGAAGGTTTACCACTATACAGCCTTTATTCTTTGTTCAACTTTCAACTACAGTACAAAATTTGAATAATGTCACTGTATATTTAATATAAGGTACTGTATTAGAAAAGGTTAAAGTTCATGTTCAGCAATGTGGCATCTTTGTTTAAAATTAGTATGTACTATACAATTGCTGTATTTTTCTGAGTATTTGTGTGCAGAAATGAGCACCAAACCTCTATGAATCATACAGCTGTACTAGCATTACCAGCAACAGTACACATGCTGTGGTCACAGTGCTACTAATGGTACAAGTTATCATCTCAGTATTACTAGCAGTAGTACATGTGCTATAGTCACAGTATTATGAGCACTGTTCACAGTACATAGTATTAACAAAAGTCTGGGATAGGCATACATGTAGATGGTAGTGATGAGAGTGAAAAAATCTTTAGCTTAGACCATTTCCTCTAAACTAGAAGTGTGAGCTCCATGAACTTGTGTAAAATGAAAGTAAGCAAATTAGCATACTGGAAAAAATTTGTGAAAATCTTAGAGGCTATAGTAAAAACAAATCATGATCTTGTAGTATGATTAGAAACATGGTAACTGTGTTCCTCTCCCATGACTGCAATAATACTTTTATCACAACCAATGGTCCAAACTGTCTTTGATGCCATACAACATATTAAGTAAAAATGGAGCATTTAGTATCCATGCGTATTTGTTTTAATGGAAGTGATGAACAAAATCAAGTGCTTTGTACATTAAAAAAAAGTCACATTAGATATGTATGAAAAAATAAGAGCATAAAAGAAAATGTAATTCTTTTTTTTTTTTTTATCATGAGAAAACACTACCACTAACAACCAGTTAAAATTCAACTGGTCTACAACAATGTACAGTAATACCTTACAGAACATAAGAATGAAAATTATTTTTGAGCTTGCAATTAACATGTCATATGCATAAGAGAACAAACAGGAACTTCTTTACAATATACATGTATCATCAAAATGTTTACATGTAATTTATAAATTTTATAGAAACCCGATGATAATACTGCAATATGAAGCCAATAGCTTATAGTTCTTTGAGCCAAATAATTTTGAATTTTAAAAATTACTAAAATTCAAAATAATTAAAGTTACTATATTCCACATGCACTTTCAGACATGACTTGCATAATAGATAACTTTAGATATTTCAGTATATCCTGTATTATTATTACCGTTAAAAAAAAAAAGAAAAGTTGCTGCCATACACTCACACAAGCCTGATGGATGTCTAAGACCTTAGCATTCAAATCAAAATCTCCTTGACCCCTACCCCTCTTTGTCATCCCCTAAATTTCCAAACTACCTCAGCAAACCCTCTTCAGCCCTCTGAATATTTTGATATCCCTACTCCTTTTTCTCATCTCCATGCTGTGAATTCTCTGCATAATACATCACAAAATTGCCCTCAACCATGACATCCCTACTGCTTCTAACTTCCTCACATTCCTGTTCTTACCTTCATAGATAAATTTCTTTGTCTCCACAGATACCTTAATGCACCATCTTCCCTTCCCCCCTCCCTTCTCATTTTTATGGTTTGCTGCTAAAAAATCCACTCCTAAATATCTAAATGCATTTACTTCCTCTATACTCTCTCCAATGTGATATCCGATCTTTCACTGCCTAGTTGTTTATTTACTCTTATCACCTTACCTCTGAAGAGTTTCGAGAGTTTAACTAGTCTCGGAGCCCAGCCATGAGCCAGGCACAATCGGTGCTTGCCTGATCAACCAGGCTGCTGCTGCTGGAGACCCGCTGCCCCACATATCCATCACAGCCTGGTTGATCTGGCACCTGGTGAAAATACTTATCCAGTTTCCTCTTGAAGGCTTTACACTTGTTCCAGCCATGTTTCTGATATCTTCTGGTAAGATGTTGAATAGTCTGGGACCCCAGATGTTGATACAGTGTTTCTTTATTGTCCCCACCACACCCTTGCTCCTCACTGGGTTTATTTTACACTTTCTTCCACATCTCTCACTCCAGTATGTTATGGCAGTGTGCAGATTTGGGACCAGGCCCGTGAGTACTTTCCAGGTATATATTATCATGTATTGCTCTCTCTCCCCTTGCTCTAACCCATGTTCACTTTTAATTTTCTTTTACACACCCTCCCAAATTCATCACCTTTGCAACTTCTCTTCAGAATCCCCAAAAGAATCATGTCATTGGCAAAAAGCAACTGTGACAACTCCCACTTTGTATTAAATTCTCCCAAACATCCTAGCATTCACTTCATTTACAACCCAATCTATGTTGAAACAACCATGGTGACATAACACATCCCTAAGACCTACTTTTATTTGTAAATAATCCCCCACCCCTCTTTTCTACATAACATAACCTGAGCTTCACTAGCTGTATAAAAACTACTTTTTTTAAGTAACCTACCACCTGTTCCACACATGCAAAATCTGCTACACTGCTTTCCCATCCACTCTATCATGTGCCTTGTCTAAACTGTAAAGGAAGCACTGAACCATAGGGGTCATATAGTTCTTGGGAAATGGGAGGCATTCAAGTTTGATCCAGGGAAGGGGAGAATAAATCCTTTCCCCACCTGAATCGTGAATCCCTCACCAGAATCAAGGCTTCTCCCCTGAGTGGAAATTTTACACTAATGGAACCACATACATTAAGGTAGCAAAAGAACAGAATTACATTAATCAGCAATTAAAGCTAGGAGCTTATGCAACTTTTTCAACTACATCCATGAGTTATACAACCATTATCATTAATAAAAAGTATGTAGTATTAACCTGGGCAGAGCTGTCTATGATTATATCAAAAAAGTTATTTGTTCAAGTTGCTACAAAATGAGTATTATTTTTATCCACAAGATGTACTAGACCCATGTGACAAAGCACTGGAAGGCTTAGTGTAGCTATCAGGAAAGGGAAGTAATTGAAAAGGTGAACTCAAGAGCTTACAATGAAAGTCAAATTTAACATAGTCAAGTCAATGTCTGTACTGAAGGCAGGGCTTTCTGAAAGTAAAGCATGAAAAGTGGGAGCACCTGAGCCCTGAAAAAAATAAGACTGGAAATGATAATGTGCAAGTAGTCTGCTTATGTTCCATACAAGGTTCCACTTATTGCAATGTGAGCAATTCTAAAACCTCCCTGCCCCTCTCCTCTTACTTCTATATCTTGTTTTTTATTAAGTTCTGGAAGATACACCTTGTTTTTTAAGTTCTGGAAAGTTTTTAATCTCTGTCAATGCATAAAATTATACAAGTACTTTATATATTTACAAGTACATTAATGCTACTTTTCACCCAGATTTAGTTGTTCTTTATAGCCTAGAATAAAGTATTCTATGAAATGTGTGTGTTTTAGCTAATAGATAAAGATGTCCTGTTTATTTTAGCTTCTGCCAACAATTACATTTCCCCCATTATGAGCATCTACTGTATTGAACAAATATGTACAGTCAAAACTGCCTTAAAAAAAAAAATCTAAATATAGTGGATTTTGCATGCCTTGTGCAGTAATTAGCACACCAATGCATTCTTCTCCAGTGATCAGCACATCAAGGCACTCTTCAGCCACTGAAAATAAAATAATAAAAGATTACATGTCACCCTGCCTCGGTGGGAGACTGCCGACTTGTTGAAAAAAAAAAAAAAAAATGACACAAGATTTTCCTTAGTAGCTAAAATCATTAAAAATATTTGCATATTATGTAAAACTATGATTTACATTTAAACCACTTGACATTTTCTTTCTGGCCATAATGCACACTAAGCCATGTCAAATCTCTTACAAACTACAATCCAGCATACTATACATAACTTGAGAAAGATCTTTTCCTAAGCCCACTTCACTATCTTTCCATATTACCTCGTCTTTCATTATGATATGCATAGTCATTCAAAATCTAATTATTTCAGCATCTGTTTCTTCAAAGATCAAACTGTCTTGACTAGCAAGGAAATACATTTATTAAAATTTGTAAACAGGAAACTTAAAATGAGACAAAATACAGACTTAATGAAGATGATAAAATAGATGAAAGAGCAAGCTTCCATTATTCCTTGCAATGAATGTCCCACAAGGTGTTTGCAATTGTACATGAAACTACTGAAACCTTTAATAAACCATTTTTTTTTTTAAGTTAAGCTTTATTATAATACTGCATCATTATTGTGGTACTTTTGTATGGTTTTTATGGTTGTATTCTTGTTTTTTTTTTGTCTCATTTGATAGAATGGAAGATATATTACAGAAATAGATATGATTTTGATTGCTTTCACGACGAAAAGTAACTTGAAATTGAGCTCAATGTAGGAGAAAGGAGAAATGTTCAATATGAGGTCGTGAATGGGTTGACATTATTTATACAATTATTGCAATAAGGCAGTAGTCTGCATAACAGTAAATCTTCTATTTTTTGTGTGAATAAAAATTACAAATTATTTATATTGTAATAATAATACATGTATGTATAATAATAGTAGTATAATAACAATAATAATAATAATATATATAATAATATTATATAATAATAATACATATATAATAATAATGTACTACATAATAATAATTATAATAAGAGACAACTTCAAAAAGGTCATCACTAGATGGCAGTGTTTACCACAACAAAGGGAGCGGTTGTGGCCGCCTGGACCTGTTACATAATGCCATATTTTATTCATTCTAGAGTATATATAAGGTTTCTATGTTATTTATAGTGTTTATTATGTCATATTAGATGAACTGTGATAGATAAATAAGCCGTAGAGTTGATGATAGTGAAATATTCAAGGAGTATTTGTCCTGTCTCCAGACAAACTCTTGTCGGCGGTTGATGCCGCCACATATGTAATGACATATTTTATTAATTCCAGATTATATATCAGGTTTCTATGTTATTTATATTGTTTGTTATGTCATATTAGATGAATTGTGATAGATAAATAAGCTGTAGAGTTGATATTAGGGAAAGTACTGAAGTCCAGAATTCCACTGGAATGGATTAATTGCATTTCAATTAATTTAAATGAGGAAAACTGACTCTGCAAACGAGCAAATCCAGTTGCGAGCAAGGTCATGGAACAGATTAAACTCGCAAGTAGAGGTTCCACTGTATGTGGTTGTTACATATGTACTGTGTTAATTAGGAATTAATTTGAAAAAAAAGCATAAACTCTGTCAGAATAAAGGAAAACAATATTACGTCTAAACATTTTTCTATACCTAACATTTTCTCTACTTATATATAATTATAACTAGCAATCTTCTACACATACACACACCATGATCATTATTCCAAAAATATTTCACACATTTATTTCATGACCATATTTTGCCTTTGATTTTTATCTGTATCTATTCTAGAGTTTTCAAATTTATCCAGAATAATAGATGGAGTTTGGAATGCACCTACTTCGGGTCACAATTTATTATGACAGAAAAGCAGGCAAGGTTTGCTAAAGTATTCAGAAAATGCAAACCACAGCAAGTTGTTAGAGACATTCATACGTGCTGTACACTCATTCATCACAAGCAGGTATACTCATTTTATCTTTCTATTAAATGTGACTATCATTACAATACTCTATAGTGTATTATAACATACCTCTCCCATAGAGAACTTTACAGTACCATTCTGAAGAGGATCTCGTTTCTCAAAAAGATCTGAAATAATAATAATTACAACAATAACAATGCTAAAACAATGATATGAATATTGCTTTGTAATTTTCTCAACACTGTTTAACGGCTCATATACATATCACACTAGAAGGCTGTTGCCACACTTGAATTGGAAATATGAAAGACTAGGATATTGTTCAGTATCAATATATTTCTTCATATGCCTGCTGTAACTCCTTTCTCAACCACAAGTGTCATTAACCCTTAAACGGTCCAAACGTATATATGTATACGTTTTTTCAACATCTGAAAGTATGTAAAGAAATGTAGATCTTCTTTTTTGTTTTACATTTGAAAACGTGTAAAAAAACTTATCTACTTTTTTTTTTGTTATATTTGAAAATATGTAAAAAAAAGTAGATCTACTTTTGTAGCACTAGGAATTTGAACGTCGATCTGTTTGGACCGTTTAAGGGTTAAGACAAAGCACAGGAACAGCATAGATATTTTGATCTCTATGCTTGTGTCACTATCCTCAAGTGAACCACAGCTTTATCAGATGGTAGATAAGCTGGCTCACCTTTTATATTAGTAAAGGTTAGGTGCTTTAACATCCTTAATGGGTAAATATTATTAAAATGTTTTGCTTATTTTCCTAAAATGAATTTATTTTTTTAATATCAATATAAATACTGTATATAATTTTCCCAATTATCTCTTCAATATGCCCCACCTTTGACACAGACTCTCTGACTTTTTGTCAGCAGCAGCTGTATTATACTTCCTTTAGCACTCCTCGTTGCCCTTCTTTACTCTACCTCTGTTATACACTTCATCCTCGCTGGTCTTTGATCAAACATACTGCACCTTTAGCACACCCTACCCCGCAGTGCTGAATGACCCTTATGGGTTTAGCACTTAGTTATGATTATAATAATCTCTTCAATATCTCAAAGATGGCAATTATATGTGAGGAGTCCTCTTCAAGGGGGAGACTCCTTGATGAAGTGAAGAGGCTTCTGGTCTGAGGAATTGGACCTTTCGTTCTTCCTCCGACTGGGGGATGTTCCGTTTCCCCTCCTCCGGAGTTCCACAGGGTGGCTTAGGGTGTCCTTTGAGTGATGGGTGTATCTCTGGAGGCTACCTGTTGGCTCTGGGAGATGGTGGCCGAAGGAGGTATGCCTTAGACTTTTCTTCTACTAGGAAGGAGTCTTATAATGTGCCTTTTATGCTTTTAGAACTAGAGTTGATACTTTCCGCTTGCCAACTGTAGGCAGCTGGACCTGATGGCATTCATATTCATATGCTTCAGCATTTACATCCATCAGCCCTTATAATCCTGTTACATCTTCTTAATTCTGTTTGGTCACAGGGGATTCTTCCCCATCTGTGGAAAACTGCTGCTGCTCTGCCTTTTCATAAACTGGGTACTTCGGGCCATGATGCCTCACACTATCATCCCACTGCTCTTACCAGTACAGTTTGTACTTTGATGGAAGGTCTAGTAAACAGATGTTTGGTGTGGTATTTAGACACACACAGCAGTCTTTCCATTCATCAATTTGGCTTTCATAAGGGCTGCTCCGTCATTGGCCTCTTACTCTATTAGATACCCATGCTCGTAATGCCTTTGCTAATAACCACTCAGTTATTGCAATCTTTTTTGATCTTGAAAAGGAATATGCCACTACTTGCAGATATAACATCTTGGTCCAGGCTCATTCCTTAGGCCTCTGGGGCAATCTGTCACTCTTCCTTAAAAATTTCTTGTCTGAGACACATTTCTGCGTTCAGGTTAATAATTTGCTTTTCTCGAACTTTGTCCAAGCTTCCAAGCTGAAGGTGTCCCTCATGTATGTGTCCTTAGCACCACTCTTTTTCTACTAGTGTGACCAAACTGTAAAGTAGGAGTAGCAAAATATCCCTGTTATCTAGTGTGTTTATGAGACAGAAAAAGACACCAGCAATCCTACCATCATGCAAAACAGTTACAGGTTTCTGTTTCACAGTCATCTGGGAGGACGGTAGTACTTCCCTGGGTGGTTGCTGTCTACCAACCTACTACCTACTGCATAATCCTATCAAAACCAGATTATGGTGACCAGGTATATTCTGCAACCTCTCCTGGAATTCTTTCTAAACTTGATCCTGTTCATATTCAGGGATTACATTTGTGTCTAGGCGCTTTTCGCTCCTCCCCTTTAGAGAGTCTATAGGCGGAGGCGAATATTCCGTCTTTGCATGATTGGTGTGATGCCCATTGTCTCTTAATATTTTGTCTTCTCTCATGACCTTCACGATCCTCCTACATCCAGAATGGTAACGGACATTAGTAGAGGTCCATTATTTGATCGCAGCCTCTGTCTACTCCAACCCTTTTCTCTTTGTATTCACTCTTGGCTTCTCTTCAATTGCCCCCTTTACAAGTTCATCTGGCATCTACCTTTTCTCTTCCCCCTTGGGAGGTTCCAACAGTTCAGGTCTGTGCTTCCCCACTGCCATGCACAAAAGTGCAAATACCTACAGTTGCTTCTTGCTTCCTTTTTCTTTACTTTCAATCTCATTCTCGTGCCATTACAGTTTACACTGATGGTTTAAAATACTCGATGGCACTGGGTTTGCAGCAGTGTTCCTGGACAGTGTTGTGCATGGTCATTTTGACTCTGCTAGCATTTTTACAGCTGAACTCTGTGCAATTCTCATTGCAATTATCTGTACTGCATCCATTCCTTCCTCAACATCTGTAGTAGTTTCAGATTCCTTTAGTATTTTGCAGGCTATTAAAAATTTAATTTGCCTCGTTCCCTAGTTCTTCATATCCAACTTTGGTTGTGCTGAATCTCTAGCAGAAGCAAAGAAATCATTTTCTGCTGGGTTCCTGGTCATGTAGATGTTCAGGCAATGAGCATGCAGTCTTGGCTGTGTGGTCAGCTGTACTTGACCTTCATGTTTCATATAGGGGGTATTCCATTCTCAGGTTATTTTGCTGTAAGCTCTATCCACTTTTGCAACCATTGCCAACAACACTGGTCTGATCTGATTCATAACAAATTACATTCTATCAAGCCAAGTTTAGGTTTCTGGCTTCCTTCCCATCGTCGATGCTGGGATTGGGAGACTATACTTTCCCGTCTTCGCATCAGACACACACATCTCACTCATGGGTATCTCATGCAGAGGCGCCCAGTTCCACTCTGTGAGGATTGTCAGGTTACAATTTCAGTTTGCCATTTTCTATTGGACTGTCCTGTCTATGAGCGAGCATGCAGAATTTACCTCTGACATCATCACCACTCTAACACCTTTACTTTATCTTCCCTCCTGGTTGATGACCCCGCCTTTGATGCAGACTCCCTCTGACTTTTTTTTGACAGCCACAGATTTATTACACAAACTTTGACGGTACTTCCTTGAGCACTCCTCACAGCCCTTTCTAACTATACTTCTGTCATCCTCTCACCCTTGCTAGTCTCTGATTAAGCAAGCACACCCTGCCTTGCAGCACTGTATGGCCCTTGTGGGTTTAGTGCTTGGTTTTGATTATAATATGTGACCAGTCCCTAGTACATGGAGGGAGAACTTACTCGGTCCACCACATCAAGCAGCTAGAGAAGCACAATTTTACAACATACAGAATGTACTGTATAAAATGTAAGTGAATATTTGCTAATGAGTGGTAATTTTTTGTTTTTAATAATCTTTTTCCATGTGTCTTTGCTCTTAATTCAAGCTGGAAATTCAGCTGTTAGGCAAAGCTCCTAGTTCTGACAATTACAGAATAGTAGTGATATACTATAAATACTAAAACCACCACAAAACAATAGGTACCACTGCATTTACAAATACCAAAACAATACAATAAACATTCATACAATGACATTTATATTTCAGCCATGACCATAAAAGCCTTAAACTTAGAGAATTAAATTTTTTTATTTTCTCTTCAATTCTACTAATAAACTACTTTCATTATCCTAGTACTTACTAAAAGCCACAGAAAGATGGAGGATAGCACTGACAAAGTCTCCAAACCTCAAAGTCCCGTCTTTCCTCATGTAGCGCAGCACCAATATTGACACCACTTCTGTGCTTAGTTGGAACCCTAAAAAATAAAGAAGTGAAAATGTAAAAATGATTTTGATAAAAATTATGATTTTCTAGAATCATAATGTAAGTTACAGTAGCAACAGTGCAAGAATACACAATACCTGTATAAACACTGGATATACTGAATAGAATATTGAGCTTCTAAGTACATACTGTATAAACATTCACTGATAAGAAGCCACTTATAATGTACTGTTTGTATTACTATAAACCTGAACAAATACAGCTCGAGTTTTTATAAAAATAAAATTGTACTATTAAGACTCAACATACTACAATACTAGTAATGTACCTGTAATCTTACTAAAATTTACTGAATTACTATAACAGTTTAATACTAAGCAGTTTAGATCTTCAGAGCAGCAAGGGTGAAACTGTACAGGACTTAACTACCCGCCCACTCCACGAACCTGCCGCAAAGTACATTAACGCTTCACGACTGATGTTACAAAAAATCTTAGCTAAATCACTAATCTCTCCTCATATCATTACATTGACAAATGTGTGAAATTTCAGTTTATAGATCTTGAAGATTTTTTTTAATAGCAGTTATTTTAACCTTAATGACAGATGCATTCCAGAGAAAAGTGATGCTAAGCAAAATTTACATAAAAGAGAAGTCATTTTCCCACAGACTACAATGTTAGAAAGGAGACTCATCATGAGAAGTATGTACCCAGATGCTGGTGAAGGGCTCGAAGTCTGGGAATTGGAGATATCCTCCCAGTCATTGGATTGAACCTACTACCTGCTAATCCCCCAGATGCTGTATGACCTAGATATGCAGCATTTCCTTAATAATGATAATACACTTGTAGATTCATTCTGAGAAAATCTTTTAAATTTGAAACATTGAGGGAAGTATCAGAAGGGTAACCTTTACAAAGAAATAAATCTTTATCTTTATGATTCAATCAATACAATACAGTATATACCATCCCACATTCCAGTGATGACTGGTTTCTTGATGACATCTTTTTTTCTCTTAGTTATTTATACAATGTGTTTGCTTTGGGTAAATATTTATTTTGTACATGTATAGTGGGCAAATTTTTTGGTAAAAATTGTTCAATAAATGTGAGGTCTGTAATAAATCTTTTCAAATATATTTATTTTTATCTATGGTTGTTTAGTTGATCCATGTGTGAAGGGCTCATTTTTTATTTGTAGTAAAAATTTCTCCTAAGGTTCTCACTAATCAAAATTGTTATCTAATATATCCTCAGGTACTAAGGGAAATTACACCAAATGAGCTCTATGTGGGGGATAATTGTACTAGAATTTAAATACATTGGGAAACACCATTAACAAATCATGAACTATAAAAATTAAGAACACTGTTTCCTCATTATTCCAGTGAACATGCATATTCTACTTGTAAAATCAGAAGAAACAAGATTGATAAAGGTAATACTGACCAACATCTTCAAGTGCATCTCTAAGTCTTTCTGCCTTGAGAATACCAGTTCTCTCTTTTGTATGAGTCTTGAAAGCATTCTGCCAGAATTTTAGACTGACCATCAGATCTTTAAAATCTGAAAATCGTAAACGTCCTGTGGAAGAGCACTGGTAAGCTAGTTAAGGAAAAAATTGACAAACAAGATAATACAATCAAGGTTATAACACTTATATTTTGTATTCAAACAAAAATTTTTAATGTGAAGCAGCTAAGGCTAATGGTAGTTCATGCAGACTTTCCATCCACGACAAAAATATTGTAGCTATAGTACTGAAGATGAGCTAGAACGAAGTACATTATTAATTGAGGTCCATGGTCTGATCCCTGGTGTGGGTGGAAAACATTGGGTGTTTCCTTAAAACACCCACTGTCCATGTTCATCTAGCAGTAAACAGGTACCTGGGTGTTAGCTGATTGGTGAGGGTTGCATCCTGGGTACAAAATTAACCTAATTTGACTGAAATGGTCTACATAACAAGGGGCTTTCTATATAGTAGGTCACTGATATCAGTTAGGTCTGTATAAGCTGCATCATGTACTTGTAGAAATTAAGATTATGATTATTATTATGACAAAAATACATCATATTTGATGAGATAATCATGTACCCTCATTATACAAACCTTAATGTAGAATTATTAGATGAAATTTAGTTAGATAACCTAGTGCATTAATCAAATTTTGCATCATTAGATCAAAAATAAATGCAAGACAGCTGGTGGAAGAATCAGATGCAGTTGTATATGAAGACTAGAAATACATGTACATACACATAAGACAGTAGAATATGAGGTAATCAATCCCACAGCCCAGTAGTAGGTGATAAGCACCAGTCTTGAAGAATCTGAACCACAGGCAGGAAGATTAGCACTTACATACCCAGATGTTGCACGTGTCTTAATTCATTATCTTGTCGGTATTCTATAACATTAATATACAAGTTGTCAGACACAGCAACATCAAGGGATCATCTCCACAACCTGCTAACTCTTGGCCCAACTTTTGTGCATTCTCTACTTCCACTGGGAAATCCTGCCTACCAGTGACAATGTCTTTGTCTGCTGCACCTTATCTGACTGCAGAATATAAGTGCCAATCTTACTGCCTGTGCTTCAGATTTTTCAAGAGACTGATTAACTTGTCTTCTACTGTCTTCTGTGTATATTTCTACAGTCTTCAGATTGCATGTCCATGTATTGTATTGATAAAGCCTTATCTAATCAGTCATCTTGTCGATGTTGTACACCACTGATATACGTCCAGGAAGGTACTTGCAATAAGACCTCCTTATTGACCTATCCTCCTTTATTAATGCCTTCGATTTCCTCAGGAAATTAAATTTAATAATAATAATAACAATAATCCAATTTTTCAACACATTGGCCACTTTTACCATCATTTACACATAATCACCGTCTTTGGAGAGGCACCCAGATACGACAGTTTAGGTGTCACTCCATCCTGTAAAGTGCAGGCATTGTATTTCCCACCTCCAGGACTCAAGTTCAGTTATAAACAACAAAATTCAAGCCTGTTCAATGTTTTGCACTCTTAATTACCTGTTTATACTGTCTGGTGTGTAGTAAACAAATGTGAATAACTTGGATAGGATTACCTATTTTTACTGACACATGAACAGTCATCATAAGTGGTAGAAACTTACTAGTGTTATGGAGTTTGACCTTTTAACACAGACTGCAAATAGTTCTTGATACATCCTTTTCTCTGAGTTGTGACGAGTTCAACATTTGAAGCTTTTTCTAGTACAGTACATATATCAATGGGATGAAATTCATAAGGCATCTAGATATGAAATGTTGTGATAATGGGAGATTTTAACTTTAGACAAATTGATTGGAACAATATGACAGGAAATCTTGAGTCTAGTGACTTTCTTGATACAGTTCAGGATTGCTTTTTAGAACAGGTTGTGACAGAACCAACTAGAGGAAATCTGCTTGATTTGGTTCTTGCCAACAAAGATTCAATAATTAATAATCTTGAGGTTAATGATAAGCTTTGGAAAAGTGATCACAAATCAATTAGTTAGACGATGTAAGGTAGGCCTGTGTCCTCCACAGAGACTCCACGGGGCATATGAACTGGAATGAGGCACAACTCATTCTCACCGAACCAAACCTCAGACGCCGACAGTGCCTAGAAGCCTCACTAATCGCCGTCACCGACACCATAGAACATAACACTGGAAACTACAAAATTTCAAAAACATTGGCATACATGATACTTAAGCACCACCAACCCAACAACACAGGAGTCACATGATTTCATCGTCTACCCGTCCTCATCCCAACATGACATTCTTCAGGTCACCGTGCGTCACTCACACCTCACTCTCCACCTATATATATATAATGTCTTTCTACCTCTGTATGTTAGAAGTGATCAAGGTCCCAGGACCGAAACGTTTTCTAATAAATATGTCATAGTGTTTGCTTACGTGTCTTTCTAAACCATATCATGGAATTACCAAGATAACTGCAATCAAATCTCTGTCCCAGATTTTTGCTTGGCTGACTTCGTGGGACTGAAAAATTACCTGGGTGGGCTAAATTGGGATGTCCTGACTATGGGTCAGGTAGGTGATCTTGGTTGCCAATATGACATTTTTCAGAGCATAGTTCTAGCTGCCCAGACAACTTTTGTTCCGAGTAGGGAAATTAGTTCTACCAAAAATGATCCCAAATGGATGAATAGATTAAAACATCTCATTGGTCAAAAGAGAGGCATATATAGGCATATCAAAAGAGGGGATGGGCAGTTAAGAAATCAATATATTCAATTAGAGAGAGAAATAAAGAAAGGAATAAAAAGAGCAAAAAGGGATTATGAAGCTAAGGTTGCAAGGAATTCAAAGACTAACCCAAAAGGGTTCTTTCAGGTATACAGAAGTAAGATTAGGGACAAGATTGGCCCACTTAAGAGTAACTCTGGTCAGATCACTGACAGTGATAAGGATATGTGTGAAATTCTCGATACCTACTTCCTCTCAGTTTTCACCCAGGAAAATACTAGCGATATTCCTGAAATAATAGATTATGTAGAACAGGATAATAAACTATGTACAATTGCGGTAACTAGTGACATGGTCCTCAGACAAATAGAGAAACTAAAACCTAACAAATCCCCAGGCCCTGATGAACTGTTTGCAAGGGTGTTAAAGGAATGTAAAGAGGAACTTAGCATACCTTTGGCTAATCTTTTTAACATATCACTACAAACTGGCATAGTGCCTGATAAGTGGAAAATGGCAAATGTAATACCTATTTACAAGGCAGGTGATGGTCCTTGGCTTCAAACTATAGACCAATAAGCCTTACCTCCATAGTGAGAAAATTTATGGAATCAATAATTGCTGAAGCAATTCATAGCCATCTTGATAGGCATAGATTAATTAATGAATCTCAACACGGTTTTACATAGGGGCGTTCCTGTCTTACGAATTTACTAACACTAAGGTGTTTGAGGAGGTAGATCATGGTAATGAATATGATATTGTGTATATGGACTTCAGTAAGGCTTTCAATAGAGTTCCACATCAGAGGCTATTGAGGAAACTTAAGGCACACAGAATAGGAGGAGAAATTTTTTCCTGGGTAGAGGCATGGCTGACAAATAGGCAGGAGAGAGTTTGCATAAATGGGGAGAAATCAGAATGGGGGCACATCACAAGCAGTGTTCCTCAGGGGTCAGTGTTGGGCCCGTTGTTGTTCACAATTTACATAAATGACATAGATGAGGGAATAAATAGCAACATAAGCAAATTTGCTGATGACACCAAAATAGGCTGTCCAGTTCATTCTAATGAGGACACTAGAGCACTCCAGGATGATTTGAATAGACTGATGCAATGGTTGGAGATAGATTTTTTAGATTTAGATGTTGCCACCGAAGTGGCTAGTTTATTGTGCACCCCATATCCTTCCTGTGGACGGTAGCGCGAGAGCATATGGATACACAAAAGGCCTAGGAACTAGGCCCCAAAGGGTTAACAGGAATACATATGGATTTATATCTATATATCTAAGGGAGGAGGAAGTTCGGGTGAGATATAAGCGACTATTGGCAGAAAGGTGGGCTAGTGCAAAGATGAGTGGTGGGGGGGTTGAAGAGGGTTGGAATAGTTTTAAAAATGCAGTATTAGAATGTGGGGCAGAAGTTTGTGGTTATAGGAGGGTGGGGGCAGGAGGAAAGAGGAGTGATTGGTGGAATGATGAAGTAAAGGGTGTGATAAAAGAGAAAAAGTTAGCTTATGAGAGGTTTTTATAAAGCAGAAGTGTATATGGAGAGTAAAAGAAAGGTGAAGAGAGTGGTGAGAGAGTGCAAAAGGAGAGCAGATGATAGAGTGGGAGAGGCAGTGTCAAGAAATTTTAATGAAAATAAGAAAAAAATTTGGAGTGAGTTAAACAAGTTAAGAAAGCCTAGGGAAAGTATGGATTTGTCAGTTAAGAACAGAGTAGGTGAGTTAGTAGATGGGGAGAGTGAGGTATTAGGTAGATGGCGAGAATATTTTGAGGAACTTTTAAATGTTGAGGACGAAAGGGAGGCGGTAATTTCATGCACTGGTCAGGGAGGTATACCATCTTTTAGGAGTGAAGAAGAGCATAATGTAAGTGTGGGGGAGGTATGTGAGGCATTACGTAGAATGAAAGGGGGTAAAGCAGCTGGAACTGATGGGATCATGACAGAAATGTTAAAAGCAGGGGGGATATAGTGTTGGTATTTTTGTTTAATAAGTGTATGAAAGAGGGGAAGGTACCTAGGGATTGGCGGAGAGCATGTATAGTCCCTTTATGTAAAGGGAAAGGGGACAAAAGAGATTGTAAAAATTATAGAGGAATAAGTTTATTGAGTATACCAGGAAAAGTGTACGGTAGGGTTATAATTGAAAGAATTAGAGATAAGACAGAATGTAGGATTGCGGATGAGCAAGGAGGATTCAGAGTGGGTAGGGGATGTGTAGATCAAGTGTTTACATTGAAGCATATATGTGAACAGTATTTAGATAAAGGTAGGGAAGTTTTTATTGCATTTATGGATTTAGAAAAGGCATATGATAGAGTGGATAGAGGAGCAATGTGGCAGATGT